ACCCCTCTCTTCCTGCGTTTTTCCTTAAAGAAGCAACATCATCTAGAGCAGACATTTTTACACGTGAAAAAAACGAAAACCACCATGCCCAGGGCACCGCCTTTTATACCGCACCTTCTCGTTTAAGCCGAATTTGAATAAATGCATAAAGACACAGGGCTATCAAACATTTACAGTATCCACTATACAGTACCAGTATACATGTACATGTATATATGTATGACACACAACAAACACACAACACTTTTGACAGTTTTTAATCTGTTTCTGCACAATTAATGTCATTTTAAACATTTTTGTAAATTTTCTGAAGAAAGTTTGTAAAATTGGCATTTTTTCAAGAAATTTGACTATAATTAGAAATTCCAATTGGAAATTGGAAGATGTTTGTAATAAAAATTGGGGGTGATTTTGGAACCAATTTTTGGAAGAAACCATGGTAATTATCGAAAATTGGCTGATTTTTAAAAATGGCCATAACTCAAAAATTATTAGGCAGAATCACTTCAAACTTTCTACACAGCATAAGGACATCAATATGTATCAAAAAATGTAATAAAAATTTGGGGTGATTTTGGAGCCATTTCTTGGAAAAAACCATGGGCTATAGTACAGGCTAATTTTTGAAAATTGGCCAATTTTTTTAATGGCCATAACTCATAAATTTTTAGTCGGAATCTCCTCAAACTTTCTACACAGCATAAGGACGTCAATATGTATCAGAAATTGTAATAAAAATTGGGGGGGGGGATTTCGGAGCCATTTTTTGGAAAAAAACTATGGGCTATAATAGTACAGGGTAATTTTCGAAAATTGACCAATTTTTAATGGCCATAACTCGAAAATTTTCAGTCGGAATCACCTCAAACTTTCTACACAGCATAAGGACATCAATATGCATCAAAAAATGTAAGAAAAATTTTGGGTGATTTCGGGACCATTTTCTTAAAAAGCATGAATATGCCCATACAGCACTAACAATGACATCTAAATGGTAACTTATGCTGATTATAAATCAATCTCAGATCACAAAATGTCAAACTGAAACTCCACCACATTAAAGCATCATACACTATACAATATACAATGTACAAACCTCATAATGATAGTTCATACAAGTCAAGTCCCTCCAACAGCTATCACCTCTCATCTTTATCAAACCCTAAAGAAGGTTCCAATATTCAATCCCATCCTTTCTCTCACTTACAGCTCCAATCATAATGCGGAATATCATCCAACGATTTCCCCAGACATTGGTCCAGCTTGTGGGCGTGTGACGTGGAAACTGGCTATAACTATAAACTGGAAATAAGAACATTGCAAGGAAACCCATTTCAAGTAACTGAGACTCCCAACCTACATGTACATGTATATGAATATCTAATAATATACACACATTATAAAATACACAATGAATGAAGATGTATTATCACATATTACTTTAAAAAGTAGTAGTTAGTGCCTCTGTAGTCTGTAAGCAGGTTAAAATCTTCTGAAGACTCTTCCTTTGATTGCTCTAGGTCCAAATCATGGTATCAAAAGGAATATTTATTGATAGGCCTGCCTCTGTTCCTTTATCAAAAAACATGCACCTCAAAATAGCAGGAGGAGGAGAGGAATGATCTGATGAACCTCTTCTCTCAGAAGAGGAAGATTCAAGTGAATCACAGCATTTCATTTTTAAGGTATGGCTAGGGAAGTGGTTATGTCACAGAAAAATCTGTCCCACCCAAATTTTGTCCTATGAGACAAAATATTTTATCCTAGGACAAAATCTTGCAGAAATATTTTGTCCTAGGACAAAATTTTTCAGAAATATTTTGTCCTAGGCAAGCTTTTATTGTCCTACCCTAGGACTAATTTTTTTGTCCTAGGACAAAATAATATATGAAATATTTTTGTCCTAGGATGAATTCTATCTGAAATATTTTATCCTAGGATCATAATATTATGCATAGACTATTTTGATAAGGAAAATTTACTTGGCACTCAATATTAATAATAATAATAATACATTTCATTATCAAACAATAATTGTCTTCAGCTTTTACAACAGTTACATGACCAAAAGTAGTCCTTATCTGTCCAAACATCTGGTATTTGTTCACATGCACTCTACGTGATACCACTCCTTACATTAAGAACATTTTACCATTCTTCCTTCATTACTATAGGTTGTCTGCACAGGCAGTATATAGGAAACCTGCATTCTTTTGATGGTCACATTCTTTTCTAAGCATTATAAAAGATGGAAACGAAGCTTATGTTAAATACAGCTGCAAGAAGTTGAGTCTTAACCAGCACAAATTGACATTGCAAAAGCAAGGGCACATAAACCACAATCTTTTTGTCCATTTTGCCTTAATTTGCATACTAGGAACAGTCACTTTAACTTCCCTGTACTCAGTGCATTGCAGTATTGCTGCTATCTGCTCCCTGGTACATTTATCAATACCATCGCCGGGCAAGCTATCATATATAACTACACTGTTTGTTCCATCAGTTTGTTATAATTGATGTTTTGATTTAATTATTCAAATCATCAATACAGATGCATATATATACTGAGTTTGTCTACAAAGGCACAGATATCATACTACGTACATACATACATACACATAACTAACTAAACTATTTAAAATACACAAAACACATACGCTATCATGATATAGTTGACCATTCATCTTGGTCTGGTAATATATACGGTTCTCCATTTTGCACTGAAAACTGTGACAAACTTTTCAGCTCAGTCATAGTTTCCTTATCTGCCTCTTTCTGTTAGCACTACAACCTTCTGGACACTTTCTATCAGCTAAATACACAGCTGCCTCCTCCAGAAGATCATCCTCTTCAGGGGCGGATCCAGGATTTTGCAAATGGGAGAGTTGAGAGAAAAAATGGCGCGCGAAGCGCGCCAAAATTTTGGCCACGCCCCCTTTTCGGCGCTATTTTGTGGTTAAAATCACGTGAAAATCAACTTTTCTACCATTTTTGGAGCTCATTCTTTGTTAATTATATTCACTAACCACAGTTATGTTGCTATATAAACTAGGTGGTTAGCACTTTTACCACTGTTGCAACAATAAAAACATTAAAAATTTTTTGAGTTAGACTGAATGTTTTGGGGGGGTTGCAACCCCACGAACCCCCCCCCTAAATCCGCCCCTGCTCTTTCCTGGGTTCTTCACTCGGTTCTTGGCACAGTCAGTGGCGGATCTATGGAGGGGCCAGGGGGGGCAATGCCCCCCCAAAAATTTTTTGGAGTAATGTAAACTTTGGCTTACCTATGTAAACTGTGAAGCAGCTGCAGTACTGGACTATGTAAACAATCTTTAAACCACAATAGAGCTCATTTTAACAGGCTTTAGTCTTTATAATTTTTACTTCCCAGAAAGTTTTGCACAAGTTTAGTTGACCACACTCCCTAATTACCCCTCCCATCTCATAATTGCCCCCCAAAAATTAAATCCTAGATTCGCCCCTGGGCACAGTCTGTCATCCTTCTTCGATCTGAAATCTTCTTCTGCGCACTTTGAACGTATAATAAAGGGTCCCACATGCTTTGTATGTGTATTCCATAGATAAATAATTAAGGGACAAAGTCGAATACAAAGATTTATAGTTCTTTTACACTTTTCTTTGGGTAGGACAAAAATTTGCTGACGCGGACATAAAATATCACGTGATATAACTGATATTTCTATCATAGGATAAATTTTCACGGGGGACAATTTTTTTCGTGACACTAGTTAAACCAGCCCCTCCCTGTTGTTTGGAATTTGCTGTGCTCTGCTTTTACTTCTCGTCTTACCTTTACCTCTCCTTTTACCTTACTTAAACTAGTTTCAAATGGCTTCAAAACTATCACATTTCTCATTAGGTGAGTCAGATTATTTATAATACACTGATATACATATTTTGTGTACAGATATTAGCAAGCTAAACTTTGTTTTACAAGTCTTGAGGCATTACAAGTTTCCTGAAGCAAGATGGTTTGACTTTGGATTGAATCTTGGCCTACCTTATCACACACTGAAAGCTATTGAGTCAGCTAATAAAGGAGATCCTTCAAATTGCCTGATGGAGTGTTTAGCCAAGTGGTTGACTGAAGGCTCTGATCATACTCTTGTATGGCAGACACTGGCTAATGCACTCCGTGGAATGAATGCATTAGCTGTGTCTAATAATATTCACAAAACAAGTAATCATTTTATTATCATTTCGCAGCATTTATTTATATTTTTGTTAGTGGCAGATCCTGTTAGTGAGATATTACAGTTTTATATTGGTAGACTAGCTCAAGTTGTTCTTACTGAGGAATCAGTTGATCTCTTACATACAGAGGGATTGATATCTAAGGATACATTAACAGAAGTGAAGAGTTGCGGTTGTTCATTGGTAGGAGATCCAATGTTACTAATATTAAGTGCTGTAGCTGAAGATCATAGCAAGTTATGTACTCTGACAAGCATTCTAATGAAATCAAAGGAAGCAATGTCTTTAGCTAGTGATATAATAATGGAATATAGTAAATGAACAGTTTTATAAATACACTTAACTTATTTATATTCTAATACAATAGGAAAGTCATTTCCTTCAGCAGTAACAGTGATGCCATCTTGTCAACAAGCAAGTACTTCAACATCTTCAAGTAATGATATAATATAACATATATACATTGACTATTATAATAAATACAGGATCTGGACAATTACAAGATAGTAGTAGTGAGACTCAAGTAACCACCAATACTGATGCTACTGCACAAAGTTAG